TTATTATTATTTTTATTTTTCATCAACGATTTTTGCTCCGACCCCTCTCTTTCAGTTTATTTATTTACCTTCTTATCCCTCTTTCTCGGCATTCATAGCTCTGCCTTTATTTATATGGTATAAATCCACTGAAATTCTCCGGAAATTTGAAAATTTCATCTGCGCTAAATATATGCTATGGCTATGCACAGAGCCTGAGCTCAACTTGCCATGGCTAGCCAGGCTAAGCCTTTCGGTTTGTTTGCATGTGAATTCGAGGGCGTGTCCTGCCCTACGCCAAGGCACAATATTTACTCACGCATTTCGTTGATGGCTTTGTTGTCAAACAAATTACGTCGAAAATTTATGCCGTATAATATTCATTCATAAATTCAACAGATAGTCTGTCGCGCTTAAAATTGTCTGTATGAAGAGCCCCAGAAGAATATGTATGTATGTATTTATGTGTATATATTTCGGTAGCTGTAGCTACGGCTGTGTAACGAAAGTAACCACCAAAGGAAATGTGTAAACAAACAAAATGCAAAAGCTTTTCAATTTTCCTATTAATCCTCTCAACAATTTCATTCAATACACTTGCCCACACCTTGGGGATTGAAAGACAAAAACAAAAACGAAAGAAAATGCGCAGGATACAAAGTTATTTATTTTACATATTGCTTATGAAAAGAAAAGAAATAAGACAACAACAAAAAAAGTGCATGAGCTAAAATATTGTCAAATGCTGACAATTTCGTTCAATTCAATTTGCAACAGTGCGCGAATGTGTGCGTCTGTGTGTGTGTGTGTGTGTAGCTTGCTATGTAAGTTTTTGGGCTCCGTCACTTGACACTCGTGTTTACCAACTCTCTCCCTCACTCATACAGCTGATTCACACAGTCTCACTCACTTTCTCTCTCTTTCTCTATCTTTTTTTGGTTCATTCACAGACGCTGCGCGAATTTCCGGAGGAGCTGCGTGGCGATGTCTCCATGCATCTACATCGTGAAATATTACAGCTGCCGATATTTGAGGCTGCCTCACAGGTGAGTGTGTAGCTATGTATATATGTGTATGTCTGTGTGTGTGTGTGAGTGTGTTTGTTTCCCTTGTGCTTTACCATATTATTGCTGGGGTCGTCGTCGCTTTAAAAGCCATACAAGTTCTCAAACAAACGGTCTTATGATGCTGATGCTGATGCTGATGGCAATGCCAAAATAATCGACAGCTAACTTGGCCAGGGCAGTCAAAAGTCAACTGCGGGCTTAACTCACAAACACACGCATACACACACACACACACACAGAGGCAAACACACACAGGTAAAACTTACATTTTATACATTGAATGATATGCGCGTGTGTGCCTTTTGGCCAACAGCTCGACGGAGCATGAAAAAGGTTTTAGGCAAAACTTTTGGTCACATGCAGGCAGCCGGTTAGACAGAGAGCGAAAGTGATGGACGGAGAGTGGGGAGAAGAGAGAGCAAATGCGAGAGCAAAGTGTAGCAAAAGAAAAAGTGCGACAAGCAGTAAAAGCAAATGCAACGGTGCGAGTTGTGAGGTTTATCGTAGACGACAATGTCAATACCCTTGTCATACGGCACACTCAGCTGTGGGACACACACACATATACACACACATAAGCAGGCACACCTTCTTAACCATTTTGGCAAATGGTGCTTAAATGTGAAGCATGCTCCCGTGTATCGCTTGAGTAATTGATTTTCCAATTAAGTTTCACTTGCATTATTGCCACCGGCTCACTGCTTCGTGGCGAGTCCACGAAACTTTGCCCTCGATTCTCGAGAAGTTTCTGAAACCAAAAAGAGAATGAGCAGATAAGACAAGTTTACATTTGCTCCTTTGGGCTAAACTTCAGCCCGAACAGAAACAGCACAGAACTTTGTTTTCAGCTACTTACCGGATAAAACCTAGTCTTACGCAAATTTTGAAACAAAAGTTATTTCGGATTAGTAAGTAGCTTGTTGAATAATCAGTGCAGCAGCAGCAACTATAACAAAAGTGAATGAAAAATTTGAATTAACAATTTAAATTTTGATTCAAAATAAAGTTTTTTCCAAATGAATATGCCGAAACTGCAATTAAAATATGAAATAAAAATATAAAAATGAATAATTATTAAAAATAAAGATTTCTATAAAT